CAAATATCCCACAATGCACAAGACAGATTCTCTCAACAAAGAATATAACTGTACAAGTATATTTATCCATTCAGCCACCCCACACCCAATCACCTTTAACATTATAGTTTCCATATTTAATATGTCTAAATACACTATAAACACCACAAAGGCAATGCTGTAGTCTAAATAGTCATGTATATTTTAAAGACATTAAAAAGGAAAAAAAATAGCCTGTTATATTTACCTAGGTATTTAGCATTTCCAATATTCTTCAATAATTCTAAATATTCAAGTTTCCCTCTGCTATTATTTCCCTTCAGTCTGAAAAACTTCCTTTAACATTTCTTATAGTAAAGGTCTCTTGGCAATAAATTCTTAGTTTCCTTTTATCTGAAAATGTTGTTTCACCTTCCTTCTTGAAAGATATTTTCACCACATACAAAACTCAAAGTTGGCAAGTTTTGTTCCTTTCAGCACTTTATAGTTTTCTCTTCTGGTTGCCAGGATTTCTGAGGAACAGTCCACACTCATTTGATTGTTGTCTCTGTGTATGTAATGTTTGGTTTTTACCTGGCAGCTTTCAAGATCTCTTTACTGTTGCTCTTTGACAGTTTAACTACCACGTGCCTATGCAGTGTTTTCTTCTCATTTATCCTGTCTGGGGCTTGCTGAACTTTTTGAATTTGTATCATTCCTCAAATTTGGAAAGTTTCTGAACATTATTTTTTAAAATATATTTTCTACCTTATTCTCTCTAGTCTCTGCTTCTGGTTCTCCAATTACACATATGCTAGACATTCTGATATGTTCCACAGGTCCCTGAGGCTCTGCTTATTTTACTATAACTTATCCCCTCCCCCTTCTTTCTACAAAATAATTTCTATTGCTCTAATTTCAAGTTCATTGGTTCTGTTTTCTGTCACCTCTTCTGCTTTTTAACTCCTCCAGTGAATTTTTAATTTCAGATATAATTTTCAAAAAGTTCTAAGAGTTCCATTTGGTTCTTTCTGTATTTTCTATTTCTCTGTTGGTATTTCCTATCTTTTCTTTGGTTAAAGTCCTTGTGTGATGGGTGCCTGGGTGGCTCAGTTGGTTGGGTGTCTGCCTTTGGCTCAGGTCATGATCCTAGGGTCCTGGGATTGAGCCCTGATGTTAGACTCCCTGCTCAGTGGGGAGTCTGCTTCTGCTTCTCCCTTTCACTCTGCTCCCCCTGCCCAGCCCCGCCCCACACTCCCTTGCACATGTTATCTCAAATAAATAAAATATTAAAAAAAAAAAATCCTTGTGTGATAATTTAAACATCTGAGTCACCCTGGGGTTGGTACTTGCCAACTTTTTCCTTCAGAATGGGTCACAATATCTTAGCTCAATTTTAGACTGTATCCTGGACATTGCAAATGTTATGCTGTGGAAGCTCTGCATTCCATTATACTCCTTTGAAGAGAGTTAATGTTTTTTGTTTTAGTAGGCAATTAACTTTGTTAGATTTAAATTGCAAACTCTGTTAACACCTGTGGTGCAACACAGCTCAGCTCTTGATTCTGACTGATCTCAGTCTGCTTCATGCAAGCACCACTCATGATCAGCTAGAGGTTCAAGGTTGTATACCACAAAATCAAGGTTCCCCTTCTCTAGCTCTCTGGTTGCCCCAAGACTTTCACCTGGTTCCTCCCACCAGACAGAAAGTGAGCTTTCAGTTGGAATGTTAGCGTTTCCACATTATCAATGCCACAACTATGATGACCTCAGGACAAAGCCCCCCAAATAGGAATTTCATTCTGCCATTCATTTTCTCTACACTTTGACCCCCTCCCAAATATGCTGCTTTCTGTTCAATTACCAGGGCTTTCAGGTGGTAGTTTTTTTGTGTTTTATTTATAGTTTGTCACTAATCTCTGCAGGAGATCGTCTCAGATAGGAGCTACTTAATCATAAGCAGAACCTTATCACCTTTTTTATATATAATTTCAAAAGTGGTAGATTGAGGGAGTACAGATATATTGTGTATGACTATTTCAACAAAGTACCTAAAATAATCTTTCATGATATCCTAGAATAAAAGCATGCTTAAAGTAGGAGAAACTTTAAAGATCAGTTTTGTTCAACACTTTCATTTTGTAGACATGGAAACTGAGTCCCAAAAAGTCAAGCAGCCAATAACATATCAGGGATGCAACACAAGATATCTTGATAGCTAGTTTTAGTACTGTCCTCTCAATACCACACATCTCTTTTGGACATAATAATGAAGTGGGGACTGGCTATTATAAAATTTTTCAGATGGTAAAAAAACAAAACACCTTACTCAAAGAATACTGATTAAGTGACAGAGGTGTAACCTGGCAGAGGATTTCTAATGATATAAAAAGACCTTACTACCCTTTTGCCCTGTCCTGAGTAAATACACACCTACATTCATTTACTCAACAAATATTTACCGTTTGCCTATCATGTGTTAGCAATACAGTAGGAAACAAGAATGACATGGTTCCCGCCCTTGTAAAGTTTATACCTAGCAGCTTACATTCTAGCCCAGGAAAGAGACAACAATGAATAAGAAGTTTTGCACACTGTTGACTCCCTCCTACTTGAAATTCACTCTTCCCTTGGATTTTTCCTCCATTCACCTCTTAAACGGTTCAATCCTTGGCATCCTTTTTACTTCAGATGCTTTCCTTAGGCAATCTCGGTCTCTCCTCATGGTTTCCACAGTGTATGTGCTGATTACCCTCAGTTTTTCATTTTTAACACAGACCTCTCAAATAAGCTCTAGACTATCTCTTGTAGATATTCAATGACATGTACCATACAGGCCCTTTGAATTGCCATCACCCAAACTGAACTTAACTCATTCCCTTTAAACACCTTTCTCTTTCTGTTTTTCCCATCTCAATGGTATATCCTAGATACCACTGTCTGTTTTACCTTTCACATCCAGTGAGTGGGTCACCAATGCCTTTTAATTCTACTTTATGAATCTTTCTGCACTATATCCAACCATCTTCTTTATATTATTCCAGTAGCTTCTTCAAGGAGTTTCTTAGCATTTTGCATCAGAATTGATTTTCTATAACACAAATCTAATAATGTCATTTTCCCTGTGCCTTGTGGATACTTTCGTCAGCACTTATTTCACTGTACTTGATTACTTAAATAACTGTTAGACTTTGAACAAATGGAAGGAAGGAACCATGCTTTGCTCATCTTAAATTTCCATCATCTAGTAATAGTACCTAAATACCTCAAACAAGGCATTAAAGATTTCTCATTACATCTGTGGATTACAAAATTTGCAGGAAAATACCAGAACTTCAAATATACAAATTGCTTAAATAATTAGCTAAACCAAAAAGAAAATGCCTACTAGGAAAAGTATTGACTCTAAATAAAAATTAGTAAGTAAATACAATAACAAAAACATAGGGCAGATCCCTTAGTAACACATATGAGAAGATGTATAAATTTTAGTTTATTTCATTAGTAACTTAATGCTCAAAAAAGCTAATGCACCTTTAAGCTGCCTTAAAGTCTCAGTAATAGTTCCAATCTATGCCAAGTGGTATGGGTACCATATTTTAAGAGAATAAATGACAAACTGAAGGCCCTGCTGGGAAGAGCAACCAGGACAGTGTGCGGCCCTGAGGTCATAGTTGTTAGAAAAAGTTGAAGTAAATACTGATATTTAATCTGCAGAAAAGAAAACTTAATGGGGACATAAGAGTTCCTAATTTGAAGAAGAGTTCATGGTAGAGGAATAAGATAAGTTGAATAACACAAGGTAACATCAGAAACATTGGCTCTATGTACAGGGAAACAGAGGTCAGCTCAGAATTAGAGCTGTCCCCAAATGGGACACCATTGTGTTTTTGCAAATTCTCCCACCCTAAGATTTCAAGCAGAGGCTAAACGACCACATCATGGACGTTTTTAGCACAGGGGATTTCTGCACAGGATAGGAGACTGATTTGAATGTTGACCTGTAGAATGCAGACTTAGACTGGTTCGCTTATGGCACCTAACTCCAAGATAAATCATGGGCAGGTCATTTATACAGACAGTTTTGGGTACCCAAACAAATCATCCAGACATCTCCCTTCCTGATCACCACGTGACTGCCATTTTCCACCTAGGAAATAATTCTTCTAAGGTAACCCGTTGGTGGTAGCTGATAACAGTACTGATAACAGTACTTAACTGCATAAAGTATCATGCATTTAAGAATGTTTACTATGCAGTTTTTAACGCAATAAAAACACTAAACTTAAGTGTAAATACAGGTAGTTATCCATGAACTATATAAAAATGCCCCATACAATAAGAATGTGAACTTCCTGTTCCTTTATCACTTCGCTGACATGGACATCTTTATTCTTTAAATTACATAGACTCTGGTCCCTACTTCTTGACACCCCCTCCCCCCCAAAACCAGGGCCCATTTACATAGGTGTGATGGAAGAAGAAAGAAGTAAAATTGCGAAGAATAAGAAAATCTGGTTCTAGTGACCTGGTCTTAATAACCCAAATTATAAAAACACAAAAATTATCCCACAGAAACAAATATGGTCTATGTTTCTCTACTGCTATCTTAAGCACACAGTGGGTTCAACAGACTTTTTTGGGATGGCTCAGAACCTAATTACTACATACAAAGTTGTTTCTATGGAGACGCTTTTAAAACAATCAACAATGAACTCAAAACATGTCAGGACTATCTTTATGAAGATCTTAATGTTTTACCAATGTCATTTTCAAAATTAAAAAAAGTAACATCTGGAATACACTGAACAAAAAAGTAACATCTGAAATCCACTAGAAGAAAAATCCCTTGAGCTGAGCATTGAAAACAAACTGTGCAAATCCCTGAATGGCAGAAGCTGCAGTACTAACCGCTAACAAAATCTCTTTTAGGCATGGGTAAGCCAACAACACTTTATTAGTCATCAAAAGGAAGGGATCATTTCACAAGTAAGGTATTGGATTATTTCTTGTTACACATAGTTGTCTCAAACATTACTCACAGCTGAAGAGTAGAGTTCAAACTCTTGCTCAGGAAGGAAAGAATGCCAGCCATCTTCTATCACTTCAAACATGGGCCGGTAAAAGAAAGGGTACATCAGAGTGATAGAGTCCAGGGTAGACAATGCCTAGGGCATAAAAAAGGAAACAAAAGAAAGATAAAGGAACATACTGCAATTTGAAACACTTTCTAACTGCCAAATTGGTATTAAACAAATACGGTCTAATAATGATGCACACCCAATATATTTTTCTCACATTGTATTTACCACTAGATACAATTATAGCTTACTGAAGCTAATTTCCATGCTTTTAGCATCTAACAAGGTACCTGGCACATAGCATACACTCAGTTAACACTTGCTGAATGAACAAAAGGACAAAAAAAGTGTGCACGCCTATTCTAGAAGAAAAATTAACTCCTTTGACACCACTTTACAAAGCCTAATATAAAGGTCCAAATATTTCTGGGAATCAGAAAACAAATGGGTTTTGGTTAGAAAGCAACTGAGCCACCCAGGCGCCCACAACCACAATTTTAAATGCAAGTAGCAGGCACTTTAGCAGGTACTAAGCATTCATATTCTGACTTGTGATCACATACTATGTCACCAGAGACAGGACTTTTCCTTTAAACACATTAATGCTGAAAGAACTGAAAACATTTCAATTCCAAAAGACAGTGGAAACTACATAGAAGCTTCATCAGACTTCCTGCTACATTTTAGAAAACTGAGCAATTGCCAGTTATTTTTCCAACAGGATTCTATTTGTGGCAGCAGATTATATTAGGGTATATGGATTCTTGATTAGAAAGAATAGCTCAACTGTTTTATATAAGAAATTCACTTATTACTCCCAAGTCATGTCAAGATGTATACAGGAGGTGGGGAAGGAACTGGATACCAGGAAAAGGCAAGAGACCAGGTTCACGATGTATATTTACTATATTATAAAACAATCAATAGAACATTCACTTCTTGAGGTCAG